CGGGAGCATGCAGCCGGGTGCCTGGCCAGCTCCCCACGGGGTCAGGGATGCTGAGGGGGGAAACATCGCCCACCCTCTTGTTTGTCTTGGCAGGTTAAAGCTGTAATTAAGATCCAGGCTTTCGTGCGAGCTAACAAGGCACGTGGGGATTACAGGATGCTGGGTGAGTGCCTGCTCGGCTCCGCTCTGGAGCGGCTGTGATTAATCGGGAAGGGGACTCTGCCTCCTCCCTCGCTGCCATGGCTTGGTGGCCGCTCGACGTTGGGTAGAGCAGCCCCGGGGTTGCTCTCGGTGCCTTTCCGCTCCCGAAGGCTTCCTGGAGAGGGGCTGCGGAGCGCGGCGCTGTCTTGCAACACCAGGACACGAGAAAAGATGATGCTGTTTTGGGGAGGAGGACGGGGTGTCTCGGCGAGGTGTTTCGGGTCCGAGGGTCCGCGGTGGGGGTGGCTTCTCAGTCTTCCCCTTGACTCGCGGCGGTGCTGTGCCTTGCTGCAGTCCACGCCAGGAGCCCGCCGCTGAGCATCGTCCGGCGCTTCGTCCACTTGCTGGAGCAGAGCCAGCACGACTTCTGGGAGGAGTCGGAGGTGCTGCGGCTGCAGGAGGAGGTGGTGAAGAGGATCCGTGCCAACCGGCAGCTGGAGAGCGACCTGGACCTCATGGACATCAAGATCGGGCTGCTGGTCAAGAACAGGATCACGTTGCAGGTGGGAGCACGGCAGCGGGGAGAGGACCTCAGCCACCTCCTATGGCTCTGCCGCGGTGCCCAAGCTATTCAGCCAGCGCAGAGCTGGTCCTCCCCTCCTTGGCATCACAGCTTGAGCTTCTATCCACTTTGCTTTTAAAGCGGTTGGAGGGGTTGGGGAACGCTGAGGTGCCTCTGGCTCCCTTTGCCCAGAAGCTGGGCTGAAAGCTGGAGCTTGCCGGCGGTCACCAGCACTTCTCTCTCCTTGCCCGTGGGGCTCCAGGAGGTCGTTTCCCACTGCAAGAAGCTGACCAAGAAGAACAAGGAGCAGCTCTCGGAGATGATGTCCATAGACAAGCAGAAGGGGCTCAAGTCGCTCAGCAAGGAGAAACGGCAGAAGCTGGAGGCCTACCAGCATCTCTTCTACCTGCTGCAGGTGGGGCTGGGGGCCTCTGTTGTGTCCACCGCAGCTGGGGTAGCAGTGTGGGGCCCCTGGCCCCCCATCACACCCTGACACTTGGGGTTAGCTTGATGTTCCTTGTCCCTGCAGACCCAGCCTGTGTACTTGGCCAGGCTGATCTTCCAGATGCCCCAGAACAAGTCCACCAAGTTCATGGAGTCTGTGATCTTTACACTTTACAACTATGCGTCCAACCCACGGGAGGCTTACCTGCTGCTCCAGCTCTTCAAAGCAGCGCTGCAGGAGGAGGTCAGGTGAGTGGCCGTGGGTGTCCTGGTTTGGGGACAGCTCGGGGAAAAGGCTGGACCCAGGAGCATCATCTCAGATGCAGTTATCTCCTCTGACTGCCACCTCCTGCACTGGAGAACACGCATGCTGGTCTATCCACTTCAACACATCCATCCCATCTCTCTCCCCAGGTCCAAGGTGGATCACGTCCATGACATCCTGACGGGGAACGCCACGGTGATCCGGCTGGTGGTCAGCTTCTACCGCAATGCACGTGGGCAGAACGCCCTGCGGCAGATCCTGGGTGGCCCGGTGCAGGAGGTCCTGCAGGACAAGACCCTCAGCATCCGCACCAACCCTGTGGACATCTACAAGGCATGGATCAACCAGACCGAGTCGCAGAGCGGGCAGAAAAGGTCAGGCCCTGCACAAGGAGGCTTAGCCCGACCGTAGAGTGCTCGGTGCTGGGATGGTGATGGGGATCTTCTCTTCCATCTACAGTAAGCTCCCGTATGAGGTCAGCCCTGAGCAGGCTCTCAGCCACCCCGAGGTCCAAAGGCGGCTGGATATTTCTATCCGCAACCTCCTCGCGATGACAGACAAGTTCGTCTCTGCCATCACCTCTTCTGTAGACAAGATCCCGTATGTATCTTGATGGCTTGTGTGCACATCCTTGTAGCTCTGTCGGCTTGAAGGTAGCTTCAGCAAGGCCTTAGAAAGGGAGGCTGGGTGATGGGGGGCTTCCCGGCCCCTCAGCTGCTGCAAGGCTGAGTTACTGCACTCTCAGCAAGAGGAAATTCAAATATCAGCGGGTGCTGCTGCTTCTGCTCCTCCAGCAACGCCTCGGTGGGTTGGTTCTTCTTGCCACTCCATCTCTGAGCGCTTGACTACTGGTGTTGAGGTGTCTATGAGGAAGAAGCTGAGCTTTGTGGTAATCTTGGAGGATGAATGCTTCCTCCAGGGAAGTCTGGGCTGGCAGCAGCGTAGGGGAGGGAGCAGAGAGATGCTGCAGCTGTCAGCCTCTCCTATGGGCTCCTCTGTGGCCCCAAGGCTGGGGACTTGCATCTTCTTGGGTGATGGGTAGTAGGGATGGGGCAGGGTGGCCAAGCCTGGTGCTGCCCCGCGTGCTGACTGACCTCTCCCTGCCCTCTCCTCAGCTATGGGATGCGCTACGTGGCCAAAATCCTGAGGACATCCTTGGCTGAGAAATTCCCAAAGGCCTCGGTGGAGGAGATCGACAAGGTACCTTGGGGCTGGGGGATCGGCGTGCCTTGGTGTGGTTCAACCGTGTGCGCATGTGAAGGGCCAGTATCCCTCCAAAGAAGGTCAAGTCACGTTGTGTCCCCAGTAACTAGTGATAGGACAAGAGGAAGTGGCCTCAGGTTGCATCAGGGTCAGTTTAGATTGGATATTGGGAAAAATGTCGTTACTGCAAGAGTGGTCAGGCGTTGGACCAGGCTGCCCAGGGCAGTGGTGGAATCACCATCCCTGGAGGGGTTCAAAAAATGTGTAGATCTGGCATTTCAGGACATGGTTTAGTAGGCACAGGGGTGATGTGTTGACAGTTGGACTTGATGATCTTCAAGGTCTTTTCCAACCCTAATGATTCTATGATTCTACAATTCTATGACTTAGAAACTCCTTCAAGTCAACATTTTCCTTGAGCCACCAAGGAAATGCCAACAGTGGGCGCTTCTCTGTGCTGCTGTCCCCTATGGGAGGGTTCCACCGGGCAGTGCAAGGATGAAAGAGCGCTTCCTGATGAGCTACCACCTCCTTGGGCACCAGCCTGCCTGCTCCCCAACACCCAGCCTGTCTTGTGCCCTAGATCGTGGGGAATCTGCTCTACTACCGCTTCATGAACCCAGCGGTGGTGGCCCCTGACGGTTTTGACATCGTGGACATCTCGGCTGGGGTGACCCTGCATCCCGACCACCGCCGCAGCCTGGGCTCCATCGCCAAAGTGCTGCAGCACGCAGCCGCCCGCAAGGCCTTTGATGGGGAGAATGCGCATCTCTGCGGAGTGAACCAGTACCTGGAGGAGACCCACAACAAGTTCAGGTGGACACCAGGATGGCATCAGGGTGGGAAGGCAGCAACGAGCCGGTGGCAGGGATTTTGGGGCTGACCAAGGAGGTTCTTCTCTGCAGGAGGTTCATCTCTGCTGCCTGCTGCGTCCCTGAGCCTGAAGAGAGGTTTAATGTGGACGAGTACTCGGAGATGGTGGCGGTGGCCAAACCGGTCATCTACATCATGGTGGGGGAGCTCATCGACACGCATAAGGTAAGGGCATGAAGCTCATCTGCAAACAAGCAGGCTCCATTTCTTCTGATCCTACTTCCTGGGCATTCTGCTGCCTTTCATCATGCTCCCCTGTATCCCACCACCCAGGACAACTCCTCCTCGCCTTTTATTTTCCTCCTTAAGCAAGCAAATAATCCAGATTCTGCAGGTTCTCTGCTGCTTGTCCGTCCCCGAACCTCGTGACTTTGCAGTTCCTCCTCGGGTGCCAAGGGCGTTGCGTTGGTCCTGACTGACCTTCATTCCCCGTTTCTTTGTGTACCCCTTTGCCGCTGACTCTCCTCCATTGCACCATCCAGCTCTTGCTCGAGCACCAAGACTCCATCGCACCGCACCATGGAGACCCTCTGCATGAGCTTCTGGAAGATCTTGATGAACTTCCTACGGTCCAGTCCCTTGTTGGTAGGTAGAACCCTGGGGCCCACCACCCACCCGGGCAGGAGGAGGATGGAGATCAGGATGCTTTTCTTACATGAAGCTCTAGCTGGATTCTTTGGGCACGGGGAAGCCAGATCTTCTAAGCCCAGCGTGGCTGCTCAGGCTCCTTCTGCTCTTGCAGGGGAGAGCGTTGCCAGCCCGGCAGACAGCAGTCCCGAGCAGATGCTCTCCCAGCTCAGCAAAATGGAGATCTCCCTCACCCTCACCAGTAAGCTGGTGCCGGCGGCCAGCAGTGAGGAGAACGACACAAGGAGCTTGATGCTGAGGTGAGGATGGGTTCTGCAGTCTGCAGGAGAGCTTGCTGGGGGTTGGGGGGCCAGCTGGGATGCTCAAGAGGGGCAAGAAACCCCTTGAGGCAGCTAAATAACATGCTGCTGTGGTGCAAGAGGGTGACGGTCTGGAGCGGACGCCTGACCTCCTCTTCCTCTGGTCTCTAGCACCAAGCAGATGCTGGTGGACGTGATCCAGTCCCAGGCAGGAGATTCTCTCCCGGAGATCCTGTGGACCCTGGCCTCGGAGCATGAGGTGGGATGAGCTAAAAAACTTCTTTGGGGAACAGCGAACAAGCCCTCAGCAGAAAGCTGCCCTGCTCCTCTCGCAGGCTTGGCCACTGCTCTTACACTCCAGCAGTGGCTGGGCTCCGTTCTTCAGAGAACGGTCGTGTTTTGGGCCAGAAGAAACCGGTGTCAAAGTGTGTGTGTGTGAGGAGAGTTTGGTTGCTCCATCTCCTGATGTCCCGTTCCAGCCATGCACCAGGCTCACCCCCTTCTCGTCCCCAGGAAGCCTCCCATGACCACCTCATGCACCGGCGAGCGCTGCGGGACGCCCAGACCCCGGCCAAGCTGAAACGCAACCGCTCCCTGGCTGCCAACAGCCAGCTGTCCATGGAGGAGAAGAAGCGCAAGATCATCCGCAACCTGCGGCGCTTGGAGAGCCTGGGGCTCGTGGACTCTGCCCATCAGTACCAGGAGCTCGTCAACGAGCTGGCCAAGGTGTGCTGGGGAAACAGAGTTGGGGAGGTCACCTCTAAACCCACCTGAGATCCCTCTCTGGTGCTTCAGTGGAGCTCAGAACTGGTTATGTTGGCTTTCTTGTATGGCTTGGTTTCCTCCAGGACATCCGCAACCAGAGGCGTTACCGGCAGCACCGCAAAGGGGAGCTCCTGAAGCTCCGACAGACCCTGCAGGGCCTCAACGCCAAGACCTTGTTTTACGAGGAGCAGATTGATTATTACAACCAGTACATCAAGACCTGCCTCGACAACCTGGCAGCCAGCAACAAGTATGTTTCCTTACAAAAACCCAATAATTAAAAAAAAATATATATATATTTCATTGCTGCCTGGATGTTGCGAGTCCTGGAGCTGCTGGGGGTCTGAGGGGTTGCGTGTGGCTGGAGACAAGCTCCGAGCGTGTGGGCGCTTCTCTTCAAGGGGCAGCGGGAAGAACAAGGGCACTACACGGCGGCCCGGCTGTTGGAGAAGGGCGTGCTGCTGGAGATCGAGGACTTGCCGCTCAGCCAGTACGTAGCCCCTGGTCCACGGGTTGAGCTGCTGAAGCACAAAGCTTGGGTGGGTTCAGGAGTCGTATCAAGGAGTAACGCGTTTGAACTGAGGAAGGGTGGGTTTAGGCTGCCTACAAGGAAGAAGTCTTTCATGGGGGCGGTGAAACACTGGAGTGGGTTGCCCATGGTAGCGGAGTCCCCGCCACAGAAGCCATCAAGGTCAAGTTGGATGAGGCTCTGAGCAACCTGATTGAGCTACAGATGTCCCCGGTTACTGCAGATAGACTAGATGACCTCTAAAGGTCCCTTCCAACCCAAAGCATCCTATGAAGATTCTGTGAAAATAGCCCGGGAGGAGGGGGCACGTGGCCCCGCCATTGTGTCCCCTCCAAGGATGGGGTGAGTTTTTCCGGGTGTTACTGGGAGTGTTGGGATTTGGAGGCGGGTTTTGGGCTGTGGGTCTGGCCTGGTGTGTGCCAAGGGGGTGACCCGCTCCTCGGTTGTGTCAAAGCCCCGAAGCTCCTTTTGGTCACCAGCAGCTCCTTCCCTTCAGGTTCAGGAACGTGATTTTTGACATCGTCCCCTGCGAGGAATCGGGCAGGTTCCAGGTGAAAGCCAAGTTCATGGGGGTCGACATGGAGCGGTTCCAGCTGCACTACCAGGTGGGGAACCCGTCCTGGGGCTGCCGGGGCAGCGGGGGGGTGGCAGGGGGGCCTGGTGTCCCCAAACCCACCTGGTTTGGGGGGGACTGGGAGCCCGTGGGCAGCCCCGCCAGCCTCGCCGTGCATCATCCTGATGCAAACCCAGCTCTGTGCTGGGTCCCCTCTCCCCTGGGTGCTGGGGGTGGGAGACCCCTGCCCCCCTCCCCTGGCTGGACCCTCGGTGGTGACGGTCACCTCTCCCGCAGGACCTCCTGCAGCTGCAATACGAGGGCGTAGCCGTCATGAAGATGTTCGACAAGGCCAAAGTCAACGTCAACCTGCTCATTTTCCTCCTCAACAAGAAGTTCTTCAAGAAGTAACGGGGTGGGGAGGGCTCCGGGGAGCGGGGGGTGATGGAAACCTGCCAAAGACAAACCTGGGGCTCGCGGCTCCC